GAGCAGTTGATGGTCTGTTCCACAATCAGCTCCTGGCCTGGTTTTGGCTGAAGATATTGAGCTTTTTTACCGCCTCTTGCCACAGATGTAATCACTCTGATTGCTGTGTGTTCCATCTGGTGGAGTCCACGTGTACAGCCACTGTTTGTGTTGTTGAAAAAAGGTGTTTGCAATGAACAAGTCGTTGGTCTTGCAAAATTCTATCATATGAGTTCCAGCATTATTTCTTTCACCAAGGCCAAATTTTCCAACTCCTAGCGATTCTTCTTTGTTTCCAACTTTTCCATTCCAGTCACCAGTGATAATTAACACATCCTGATTGCATGTTCGGTCAATTTCAGACTGCAGAAGTTGATAAAATTCTTCAATTTCCTCATCTTTGGCTTTGATGGTTGAGGCATAAATTTGAATAGTATTCGTATTAATGGGTCTTCCTTGTAGGTGTATGGATTTTATTATATCACTGACAGCATTGTACTTCAAGACAGATCTTGAAACATCCTTTGTGATGACGAATGCCATGCCATTCCTCTATAAACTGTCATTCCTGGCATAGTAGATCATTTGGTTGTCTGATTAAAAATGGCCAAAAACAGTCCATTTCAGCTCACTAGTGCTAAGGATATCAATCTTTATGTGTTCCATTTCCTTTTTGACAACTTCTAATTTTCTTAGATTCATACTTTCTACATTCCATGTTCTGATGATTAATGGATGTTTGTAGCTCCATAACATGTACTTTAGGAATTCCTTATACATATTTACTAATTTAATCTTCACAACAACCCTAATAGGCAGGTATTATTATCTTCATCATACAGATCTAGAGTACATGGTTAGTGCAAATGGTTAGAATACTCAGATTATAACAGAAATGTTGGCAGTTTAAGTCCATGTAGAGACACTTCAGAAGAATGGCCTGTTGACATACTGAAAATCCTGCAAAGCACAGTTCTACTCTGACACATTTGGCGTTGCTGTGAGTTTGGGTTGACTTGATGGAAACTGATATTTTTTATCATACAGAAGAGGAAACTATATCACAGAGGTTATGCAACTTGTCTAAGATCATAAAGCACATTAGAAGTAGCACCAAGAATGAGGCGCAGTCTAGTTCCAGTCTAGGTCTTAATCATCAACTTTCCCCTGTTGAGGTGGGGCTTCACTTCCCACCCATTCCTGGGCAGCCACATTCTAGTGGCAGTGATGAGAGATCCATGGGCAGCATACGATACAAGAGGTACAAAGGAAACCTTTAAGTGATGAATCTTTCAAGGGCAGTTTCTTAGAAGAAAGGTAGGCTTGAGTGGGGCCTAAAAGGCATTTTAGTTGGAGGATAAGGAGTAAAAACACAGTTAAACCTCAAGAGGTTCATAGTCAGAATGAGCGTGGTGTGTTTGGAAGAAGATGAAAATTGGGACAGGAGCAAGGGCATTGGAAGACAGGAGAAGTATGGCTGAAGTCAAACAAGATGTTATCGTCAACCCTTATTAACATTAAAGGTTAAGGAGCCTTCCTTTTACCCGGTAACATAAAGTCACTGGAGACTAGAAATGTGTGGAAGACTATGAGGGTCAAGAAATTGGCACACTTGGAAGGGAAGCCTGTACTTGAGACAAGATCCCACAGGAATTCTCAATTGTTCTTTCTATAAATAACTGATCAAAACCCCATTGTTCTAGAATTACCACATGACTCAGCAATTCTACTCTTAGGTATACACCTAAGAGAATTGAAGTCATGTCCACACAAATACTTGTACATAAACATCCATAGTAACATTATTCAGGGTAGCCAAAAAGTAGAAACCACCCAAACGTCCATCAAGTGATGAACAGATAAATAAAGTATGATATATCCATTCAATGGCAAACTACTTAGCCACAAATAAGAATTAAGAAAAAAAGAAAAAGAATCAAATAGTGATACACATTACAGCGTGGATAAACCTTAAAAACATGTTAAGGGAAAAAAGCCAGTTGCAAAAGCCCATGTATTGTTATGATTCCATTTATATGAAAGATCCAGAATAAGCAAATTTATAGAGATATAAAGTAGTGTTTGCCTGGGATTACAGGAGAGTGGAGTTGAGGAGTGACTGCTAATGGGTATGGGTTTTCTTTCTGGAATGAAGAAAATGTTCTAAAATTAGATAGTAGTAATGGTTGCACAACTTTGTGAATATACTAAGTATTTCTGCATTGTACATTTTAAAAGGGTAAATGTTATGGTCCCTAGATAAGGACATCATGCTGGGCAAAGCAGAGAGTCAGTGAAAAAGGGCAGTCCCTTGCAATGGATTGTCACAGTGGCTGCAACAGTGGGCTCAAATATAGCAACAATTATGAGGATAGCGCAGAACCTGGCAGTGTTTTGTTCTGAGTTGCTATGAATTGAAACCAACTCCACAGCACCTAACAACAATAGAATTTATGATATGTGAATTACAGCTGAATAAAACTATCATAGAAAATCACATTTTTCAACTTCCTTGTGTTGATTATAAAACAAATTTCAATCTGATGCTGAGACTCACCTTGCGTGCTGCTTGTTGAAACCGCTTTAATGCTCTGAATCTGTTGGCCCATATATTGTTAATGAGTGGATCAAAATTAGGATGAAATTCCTTGATTTTCTGTGAACATAAAATATTGCCATGTTTTAACCTTTAACTCTTAAAGTTAAAGCATTAAAAGCATTAATGGTTTTAATAAGCATTAAAATAATTTTAATAAGCATTACAAAAAAAAAAAAAAAAAAAAACCAAACCCCAATGGAGTGTTGTTTTAGATCCTGATCCCAAATCAAGTTATTATTTATTCATTCTGCCATGTAATAAGAATTTATTAAATACTTCTAGTGCACTTTAGCATTTTAGGAGATACTTCTTGAGTTGAGAACAAAAAGTGGAAGATGTGGTTTGGTTTTTAAGACATTTCATTTAGTTGGGGAAACTCAAACAAGTACATGTGATTTTGAGGATGAATAAAGCCACACAGAAGTCAGTCTTGTGTGGTGGGCCCTGCATAGCATCAGATCTGAGATGAAACTGTGAGATCCATTGGGGAGGAGAACAGCCTAGCTCTGCACAATGTGTACATATGGGCTTAGAATCAGTGAATGAGTGAGGAGAGAAGGGGCCCTGGGATGCACTGACTTGGTCAGAGCCAGTATCTGGAGCAGTTAAACTTTAAATTTGCTCTTGTAGGAGAGATAAAGGAGGGATGAGCATAATTTTGAAGTGGCAAGGTAAAAGTAAGAAAGTGGTTGAAAAAAAAAGTGGGGGGAAAGGACTGTAAAAACTTGACATGATGGAAGCAAGGGGTCATGCCAAAGGACAGTAGACAGGACATAGGCTTTGAAGTAAAAAAACCTAAGTAAAATTCCAGCTCTACTATTTACGTATTAGACAAATCTGTTGCAAAAGACTCTATCAAGTGCTGAAGAACAAAGACATCTCCTTGAAGACTGAGATGCTTCTGACCCAAGCCATGGTATTTTTAATCTTCTCATATGCATGTGAGAGCTGGACAATGAATAAAGAGGACTGAAGAAGAGTTGATGCTTTTGAGTTGTGGTGTTGGTGAAGAATGCTGAAAGTACTGTGGACTGCTAAAAGAACTAACAAATCTTTCCTGGATGAAGTGCAGCTGGAATGCTCCTTGGAAGTGAGACTAGCCAGACTTCATCTCACCTACTTTGGTCACGTTGTCAAAAGGGACCATTCTCTGGAGAATGATGTCATGCTTGGTAAAGTGGAGGGTCAACAAAAGAGGGGAAGGCCTTCAACAAGATGGATGGTTGCAGCAATGGGCTCAAGTATAGTAGGGAGGGTGAGGCTGGTAGAGGACTGGGCAGTGTTTCATTCTGTAGTACATAAGGTTGCTAAGAGTCGGAGGTGAATCGATGGCACATAACATCTACAACAATAACTATTTACTTACTGCTGGCTCTCACGTCTGTAAAATAAAAATGTTCAAACTTATCTCAAGCTTCTTAAAAGGAGCAAGTGAGCTAAAACTAGTGAAAGCATTTTAGTACATAACAAAACTCTGGGCTCTAGACCAGCAGTTTTCAAACTTGAGTGTGCATCCAAATCACCTGGAGGGCTGGAAGCACAGTTTGCTGGCCGCAGAGTCTCCAATTCATCTAGTCATGGGTGGGGACCGAGAATTTTCATTTATAATAGGTTCTCTGGGGAAATGCCAAATGCTGCAGGCCCAGGGAACTACACTTTGAGAACCTTGGATGTATGCAAATGTTGACAAAATTAGTGTAGATTGAGATGATTGGTTTAAGGAGTCACACAGTTTCCTTAACAGGAAAAAAAAAAAAAAAAAACATGAAGAAAAAGATATCAGAAGTGAATTATTCTCACACTGGCACAGGCAGTAAATTGCAAAAGAGGAGGAGGAAAGACAGCAGTATGAACAAAAAAACCTATGTTTGTTAGTTGAGGGTGAGACATGAAGGGTGGATTCAGGTATGACCTGTGGAAGAGCTATAGGCAAGATTTTGTAGCTAGATTAGATACAAGAGAGAAAAAAAGGGGTAAAAATAATTCGTATGTTGTGAACCCAGTAAAGAAAAGTGAGGACAATGGAAATGGGGAGATTAGGAAGAATTTTTTCATTGGTAAAATTTAAAATTTGGGTTTTAAAAGGAAACTATCCCATGAGAGAGGGTACTGAGGTGGAGGGGCTCTGTTCCTGAGGCACCAGAGTTAAGAAGTCTTTTGGTAGGTCCCATAGCTGTGGTTGAGTGGATATCAGAACTTTGGCTTCTGACTTCAGATCTTGTATCCTTTCTACCAAGGAGAAGGAGGCAATAAGCAGAGGTTGAGGAACCAACCTAATGACCTGTAGGCAGTGGCTTGGAAAGCCATAGGAAATGGAAAAGGAGAACAAGAAAGAGAAAGTAGAGGGATGGGAAAGAAGAACCAAAGTACATAAAGCTGTTAATTTCAAGGGAAGAATTAATTCCAAGTTTTGATGCTTTATATGTAAAATACAGTAAAAAGCATTCTGAAAATGTAACCATATTAAATATTATTAGATATACCTTGGTAAAATGGTTTCTATAGAACTAGTTAGTAGTTTTTCTTTCTTTTTTTTTTTTTTTAAATAAATGTTAAAGAGTTACCAATAATAAGATTCCAAAGAAAGAAAAGTTACCCACATCTTCTAGATTGTGAATGATCCGTCTGTGGCTAATTTCTGTCTTGAGTCGCTGAAATTCCTCATTCACAATGGGATCTCCTCTATCTAACTGTTTTTTTTAATCATGAAAAATATTAAAATTGAGTATAAATGCATAAAACTTTGTCTTTAAAACTAGTAGAATCCCATTAAGCAATTGCTCAAACCCACCCACAGAGTTAGTTCTCCTTGGGAGTGGTAGAGGCAACTGTAGGTTAAAATATCCATTGTAAAGACATTTAAGCAAATACTTAAGCAAAGAGAGTACTTATAGAAGGATAGGCCTGTCACAGGAGCTCTGATAGCATAGTACCTAAGGTACTTGACTGCTAACCAGAAGGCTGGCAGTTCAAACCCCCCAGCCACTCCTCAGAAGGAAGGTTGGGTAATCTACTTCCGTAGTGATACCACCTTGCAAACCCAAGGAAGGGTCACTATGAGTTGGGTGGTACTCTACGGCACATAACAACAACAATAGGCCTGATATTTTCTTTGTGTAACTAGGGGATAACACATCTAGAAGTTACTTCTCACGTATCTGAAATTTACAAAATGAGTTTTAGGAAATCTTGTAATTTGGGAAGTACATGTTGTTGTTGTTGTTAGGTGCCGTCGAGTCGTTTTGACCCATAGGGACCCCATGCATAGCAGAATGAAACACTGCCCAATCCCGCGCCAGCTCCATGATCCCTGCTATACTTGAGCCCATCATCACAACCACCATGTCAATCCATCTCGTTGAAGGCCTCCCCCTCTTTCGTCAACCC